GGGTTTCAAATCTTTCAAAGCGTAAAGCTGGGGAAAGACTGAAAATGTAACGGACTCTAAAACAGAACCAGTCAACTGTATCCTTTTCAGCCGGCCACCCAGCACTCCTCCCGCCAGAGAAGGGGAGAGTTGAACTGGCGCTGGGCACGGGGACCCCCTTCATTTGTACCTCGTTTGCTATCTCTCTCTCCCTTTCCCTTCCTCTTTGACATCAATAAAATAAGTATTTTTGAAAACCCCACGTTGCACTAAGGGACTTTGGTGCAATGGTTACGTCTGTAGGTGACAGACACCTTCCTGGGGCGTAAGGATGGTGCTGTGATGATGCTGCCGTCTTCAGAGATGAAAATGTAACGGACTCTAAAACAGAACCAGTCAACTGTATCCTTTTCAGCCGGCCACCCAGCACTCCTCCCGCCAGAGAAGGGGAGAGTTGAACTGGCGCTGGGCACGGGGACCCCCTTCATTTGTACCTCGTTTGCCCAGCGCTGACCCCGCCAGCAGGCAGCCCGTGGACGTCTCAGCCACCACACTGCAGAGGAAGAGAAGAGCATGAGCGCCCGAGCCAACGAGACCCTCACACACATGCCAGCAGGACACAGGGCAGCCGCGGCCGGTGGGGAGAATGAGATCTGGCTGGTACGCGGCAAAAGTGAGTGCTTCCCACGGAGAGCAGCGTGATTGGCATTCTCCATCCTCAGGGAGGCGAGAGGGCCCTCACCCTCGATGCCAACCACCCCCAGGTGTTGCCGCCCCACAGCCACACTGCGCCGTACAGCAGTCAAGGGTGACCTTAAATGGGAAGGTCTTTCCACAGAGATGCTGGGTTTCATTTTAGGTTTCAGACAGTGTTACCACACTAGAGCACGCATTTACTATAACCCCGTTAGCAGTAACTCCGAAAAAGACCTTAACATTTAAATACCCACAAAAGAGACTTTTACACCTCAAATAAGCATTTTTATAACTTTCGAATAACTAACTCCTAATTAGATTAATAGAGTAGTTACATTTCTATTCTTTTTTTTTAAATCCTCACCTGAGGATATTTTTCCATTGATTTTTAAAGAGAGAGGGAGCCGAAACCGGTTTGGCTCAGTGGATAGAGCGTCAGCCTGCGGACTGAGGGGTCCCAGGTTCGATTCCGGTCAAGAGCATGTACCTGGGTACCTGGGTTGTGTAAAAAATCAATAAAATATATTTAAGAAATAAAAATAAAGAGAGAGGGAAAGGAGAAGCATCGATGTGAGAGAAACACATCAATTGGTTGCCTCCTTCACACTCCCCGACCAGGGCCAGGGCGGGGCCCAGGCCAGGGAGAAGCCTGCAACTGAGGTACATGCCCTTGACCGGAATCGAACCCGGGACCTCTCAGTCCGCAGGCCGACGCTCAATCCACTGAGCCAAACCAGCTAGGGCTCTATTTCTTTTCTAAAAGATCTTGGCCATATCTAACATTCGTTTGTAAACTGACTTCACACTGAGGTACAGAAAAGCAACGGGAAATATTTCTCCCAGATCAGCTTCAAAGGCTAACTTCTGATGGGCGTTGGCGCTGAAGTTCACCACACAGACAAGGGGCTCTGACAATGCAATGAAGGCAAACCATCCTCAGAAAACAATTCCGAATAAAATGATCATCTTCATTCACTGCACAGCTGTTTCAGGTGTGAATGCCCTTTAAAATGGATCTCCTTAAATCGATAAACCTCAACAAAAGATACAAACAGTCCACCCTCCAAATCTTGCACGTGAATGAGACAGTTATTTCAGCCCAGGTCTGGGAGAAAGCCCGGAGCCGCACATGATGCCACTGCCGTTGCCGAAGGCGTGGTCTCGGGGCTCCTGCACCGGCTGGATGTTCACGTACAGGTCCCTGAACTCCTTCCGGAGGCACCTCACAGCCGCCGCCGCCATCTCCTTCGCTACCTGTTTTGGAGAAACAGAAATGCAGAGTAAACCAAGTTCACGATGATGTGACAACTGTCTTCACACCTTCGAGACAAACAACTTCTATGTGCATTACAGAAAGGCTTGACGTGCATGAGCAGAGTGCACAGAATTGTAAGAAAAAAAATTTAATTAAAAGATTTAAAAATTCTAATAATTTCAAAGTTTAGTTGCTAGAATACTTATCAAGACTTCATGCCCTGACCGGTTTGGCTCAGTGGATAGAGCATTGGCCTGGGGACTCAAGTGTCCCGGGTTCGATTCCTGTCAAGGGCATATACCTTGGTTGCGGGCACATCCCCAGTGGGAGGTGTGCAGGAGGCAGCTGATCGATGCTTCTCTCTCATCGATGTTTCTAACTGTCTATCCCTCTCCCTTCCTCTCTGTAAAAAATCAATAAAATATATTTAAAAAAAAAAAAAGACTTCACACACTGCTAAGAACATCTGGACGACTTACTTTAGATCAATGATTCTCTCTCATCATTGATGTTTCTATCTCTCTCGCCATCTCCCTTCCTCTCAGAAATCAATAAAAAATAATAATAATTTTTAAAAAATGGACGACTTACTTTAAATGGCAAAGCGCCGGCCACAAAAGCCCTCCCCGATATCTTCGTCACAGAGCCACGCTCAGTTATGTTTATCGGGTTCAGCTGTTTCACTGGAGACACTTGGACAATCACTTCACCACCCCCTTTTGGGTAGTAGCCCCTACAAAAAAGCATGACGAACACTTACATACCCTGATGGCATGACACAAATAAAGCTCGATATTTACCAGGTAATAACATGGGGATGATATCCAACCACAGAAATTCTGGTTAAAACTGCCAAGCCCCCTTTGAGACCTCTGCTGCCCAATATGGTAGCCTCCATCACCAAGGCACTACTTCAATGAAATAAAACATAAGCTCGGCTCCCCAGTCGCACCAGCCTCATCCCAAGGGCTCAGGGGGACAGGTGGGGGACGTTTCCCTCCCGGCAGATGGCGATCCTGCGCAGGGCTGTTTCAGAATAAAACCTTGAGGTAGGACCTTGTCTCTTTTGCGCCTGCCACACTCCAGTGCCTAAAACAATGCGTGGTGTGTAGTAGGTGCTCAGTTAAGAATGTGAGTGTTTAAGGAGCTGAACACCAACACAACTGATTCGACGGGAGACGCTGAGAACCCGCGGGGGAGGGCGCAGGGCTCCTGTCCACGAGGCGCTCCCTGTCGGGGAGGCGACAGCCCCTCACACGGCGGGAGCCAGGCTGTGAGGCCCACACCAGAGGTGCGGATATGAACTCACGGACAAGTCACACAAGAAATTGCAAGTTTCATCTGGAAAGAAATACAGGATTTCCAACTTTTAGGAGAGCAGGAGAGGAAAAACATGAATGACGACATGCAAGTGTGGAGGCACAAGCAGGGTTAGGGAATAGCAGGCGGTCACATAATCAGGACACACGGGATGTGGGAAGGAAGAGGGGAACAGTGAGCCCGGCCAGCGCGGCTCAGTGGTTAAGCGTCAGCCTATGAACCAGGAGGTCAGGGTTCCATTCCTGGTCAGCGCACAGGCCCAGGTTGTGGGCTCAACCCCCAGCAGGAGGCAGCTCATCCATGGTTCTCTCTCATCACTGAAGTTGCTGTCTCTCTCTCCCTCTTCCTTCCTCTCTGAAATTAATAAAAAAAAATTTTTTTTTTTAGAAAAGAGGGGGACAGTGAAGCCAGAAGGTACATTGGAACAAGACTGCAGCGCCACAGCAAGAAATGTGGCCTTTCTCTTGGAAAAGCACCCTGAGGGACTGTGGCAGAGGGTCCCTCCTGTGACCTCGCTGTCCCTGTCCAGCCGCCGGCGCAGTGGGCCCTGGACCCGCCCCGAGCCCGGCTCACACTAGACAGGAAGGCGCCTCAGAGCAGAATTCCCCTGAAAATCTCTCTCCCCGCAAATGAGTGAGTATTCCGGGCAGCTGCTTCCCAGGCCCACGCTCCTGCTGGTTGCTGTTGGCAAACACAGAGCACAAAGATTCGATTCCCTACAGGACATAAAGGGGAGTGGGCCCAGGACACTGTTCCCTGCCGTCTGACCTCTCCACTATTTTTACCATAAGTGGTGGATCGAATGGTCGCGAAATAAGCAGCTTACCTCATCTTAATGTCACAATTAAACTTGAAACCAAATTTTTCAGCAATTGGCTTGAACACCTGAAAAATCAAAGCATTGTCGCCTTAACAACCAATAGTCACTGATTCAACAAGTGCATCTATTAGACACCAGTGCCCCGCACGGAGACTGAGCTAGTAACGAGGAGTTATAGTGATGTAACAACGTGTAGGCTAGTTCCAGTTTTCAAATAAGATAAGGGGCGTGGAACTGAAATGGAAAGTTTAACATTTCATGAGCCAGGGCTGTGCAAGTCTGTGTCATGAGAATAAAAATCACAACTCGGGGTCCTTGATCCCAATGATCATTTTACCCGGGAGGCGCTGTTTCTAACCCTTTCCCTGTAACGCACCGTGAGGAATCAGGGGTTTTTGGTGAACAGGATTCTATTCCGCCTTCTCACTTTTTTAAAATATAACGTACATTTAGGTTATTTCTTGGCTATTATGGATAGTACTACAATGAACACGAGCTCTCTCGGAGATCTTAATTTATCAATTCTCTTGGACAAATACCCAGAAGCTGCATTACTGGATCCGGCGATCATTTTATTTTTAACTTTTTGAGGAAACTCCATATTGTTTCTGACAGCGGCGGTACCACACTGGATTCCCACCAGCGGTGCACAGGGGCTCCACTTTCTCCACCTTCTCACAACACTTGTCAAACATAGTACTTCATTCTGGTTATGAGTTTTTTTTTCTTCCAAATCCTAAGTCCCAGAACTGATTTTTGTATAATAAGTAAGAGAATGCGTGTAATAATGACACTTGAGCTTTTTAAAGGGTTCACCATGAACCCTACCTAAGCCGCAACACTAAATCTACGGTAAACATAAGCCCACCGTGAAGAAATACACAGGAATGCGCACAGAACCACTCGGATACATTCAGATGGGCGCACAGGTCACTGTGGTGTGTCGCGGCCTCGAGAGCCCTCACCATGGCCGTGTAGTCGATCTGCGGGGCCATCTCGGCGTTGGTGCCGCCTCGCAGGCGCAGCTCGGAGGGAGACGCGGCGAACAGGACGCAGGGCAGGGACACCTGCAGCAAGAGGCACACGCTCCTGAGGGGAAGGCAGAGCGGGCTTAGCTGCACTTTCCTTCGAGACGCGGCTGCAAGAAGGTGATCCTGACACATCCCCATTGGCGGAAGCCCAGACAGCGGGGACGCAGGTCCACGCCCTCAAGTTTAAAGTTAAAAACCATTTCAGTCACTGAATGACGGAATCCTCCATCTTAAAGACAGAGTCGCAGAAACTGGCCTGACACGTACATGTGATGAACCCATTTCTCCAACGGAAAAAGGAAAACCAAGGTCATTGTAAAAGCAGGAGAACAGGGTTCGTAATGAGCTGTGAGCCAAGAAGGGAGTGTACTCCCAGGCAGAGACGAGGACGACTACACAGCATGAAGACAGCCGTTCTCACATATGCGATTCCTACTCATAAAAAGCGGGGACACAAATATGCTATGCTATACACACGAGAAAGTTCCAGCTATATAATAGCTGCAGTTATAAACAATGACGTCCCCCAAGTCTCAAACCCTCAAAGGTGGGTGTGTGGCTCCATTTTAAAAAGTGAGGGAACTGAAACTGAGGAGGGCTCAGCCAGGGGCCCAGGCGCGGGCAGGACCTGCATGTGAACCTGGGCCTGACTCCAAAGCCCAGACTTCGGGGGAAGGAAGAGCCACGCACCCTGCCGTCTTGGTGTCGGCCGTGTGGCTCCCACCTTGGATCTTCTTGGGTGTAAACGTTATCTCGGTGGAGCCGATGTCCGCTCCCTCCAGTTGCCCAGCGCACAGGTCTCGAATCATCTCCAGTCCGGATAAGTGCTGAGGCCTTTAGATCAAAACATTGCATCAAAACGCGCGCAATCCGACTGCCTACAGCCCCGCGTGTCCGGCTCAGTGACAAAACCGCAGGGGCAAGAAAACAGCAAGGCCTACCCACGGGTACTGCCATGACATCTCCCAGGGTCAGCCCTTCCTCAGGGGTTTTATGCACCAGGACGACCTGCTAGCAGGCATCATCTTAAGGGATCCTTCCAGACCAGCGGTTCTCAACCTGTGGGTCGCGACCCCTTTGGGGGTTGAACGACCGCTTCACAAGGGTCGCCTAAATACATCCTGCATTTCAGATATTTATATTATGATTCATAACAGTAGCAAAATTACAGTTATGAAGTAGCAACGAAAATAATTTTATGGTTGGGGGTCACCCCAACATGAGCAACTGTATTAAAGGGTCGCGGCATTAGGAAGGCTGAGAACCACTGTTCCAGACCATTTAGCTATAAACACATTCACTGACATGCTGTCAATTAGAAGTATGCAAAAGAGGGAAAGTCATAAAACTGCCTAATTGCCCCCACTCTCCCTTGCCCTTCCCTGAATAGTCTATGGCACCTGTTAGGGGCTGAACCGTGTTCCCCCGAGATTCATACGCTGATGCCCTGACCCCCAGCCCCTCAGAATGTGACTCTATTCGCAGACCGGCCCCTAAAGGAGGTGATTAAGGTAAAGGGGGCAGTGAAGGCGGTAATCCATTCTCATGGTGTCCTCATGAAAAGGGGAGATCAGGACCCACAGAGGCACCGGGATGTGCCTGCACAACAGGATGACCGTGAGAAGAGCAAGAGGGTGGCCGCCTCCAAGCCAGGGAGAGAGGCCTGGGACAGAACCCTCCCCTGTGGGCCTCGGAGGAAACCAACCCCGCCAGCACCTTGCTCTTGAACTTCGACCTCCAGAACTGGGAAAACATAAACTTCTGTTTTTAGGCCGCCCAGCCTGTGGGATGTTGTGACGGCAGCCCCAGCAAAGCAATAATGTGCCTAATGCAACCTTCATGAATTGGATGTCCCTGCTGGAGACGGGGTTGCTGCGAGCTCTGGCACAGGGAGTGAATATTCACCAGCTCACTCACTGCCTTTTAATCATTTCAAAACGGCCGGTGGGTAAAGGAAGAGGCTAAGAGCCAGCTGATGGACGGCAATGGACCGCATACAAAACGCGCAGAGGGATCGGTCCGGCTTCCAGCTGGGTCCTCTTCTAACAGGTGCATCCACCCGAACCTTGTGGGATTGCATCCCTGGCTTCCAGACACACGGGACGAGGCCCGGGGCAACGTGTTCCCCCTCCCCGCACGCAGCCTTCGTCCTGGTCCTATCACAGCTGCCTAGTGGCCTGAATGAAAGCGGACGGACCCAGCTCTCAGCCCCTTCCTGTTCTGATTTGAAAATGTGCTGTTCAAAGAGTGGCGTTTCCTCTGGCTCCACAGGCCCATCGGCCTCACCTGTCTTGCCCGCTGCTCCGTGCTCCCCAGGAGGAGGGGAAGCATTTGAAAGATAACTTGTTAGGAAACGAGACAACTCTAGCCAGAGGACACAGGCCCTGTTTTCTTCCTTTCTTTCTGATTGTTTTTTTAATTGAATGTTTTGGGGTGACACTGTTTCACAAAATCACGCAGGTTTCAAGGGCACAAGTCAACAAAACATCATCTGCACAGAGCATATGCCCATCACCCCAAACGAAATCTTTCAGTCCTGCCCCCGCCATATCCCCATGACAGCTGTCAGAGGGGAGGGGGTCGGGGGCCTGTTTTCTAAGTTTGCCCCTGGAGGGTTTCAAGACCGAACAACCCAGGCCACAGCTAACAGCCCAGGCTGAAGCCCGCACCCGGGGAACCTGCTGCCCGGATCTTCTCAGCATCACTGTGGGGGCTCCTGAGTCCCCAGCCCATCCCCAG